AGCTAACAATTTAATAAGGAAGATAGATATTTAAAAAATAGTAATCATATAGATATACAATTACAAACTATAAAATGCTAATATAGTAGAAACTGCTATTATCCCCCAGTATTTATTTCCCGCTTCTGAATAATAGTTCCTGAACTCTATCTGGCCATGACCACTGGCAATACACTACATTTTCCAGCCTTCCTTACTCCTAGTTGGGGCCATGTGACTAAGTTTAGGCCAATGGGATCTAACTGGAAGTGGTGCCTGCAACTTCCAGCAAACATCCTTAAAAATACAAGGTTTGCTCTTTGTTGCTTTTCCCCCTTCTTAGCAGATGGAGCAGCTATTTTGGACTATGATGTAGAAGCTTCATGCTGAGAATGGCAGAGCAGTAGAATAGGAGGAACCTGGGTTCCCTGACACTGTGGAACCACGCTCAGCAGCCCTAGTCCACCTAGAGAGCTTTTAGATGAGAGAGGAAAAACAATGTTATAATATCTTGTTTATGCCATTTTCATTTTGGGTTTTCAGTCATTCACAGCTAAACCTAATCCTAAATGGCATAACTATGAAGGAAAAATGAAGGGTTCAATGAGAGATTATAACATAAATAGTTGATTTTGACTAGAGGAAGGGGTTTCAGGGATAGCTCCTCTGAGGAAGTAACATTTAGGGTGTGACATGAAACCTGACCAGGAGGGTACCAGGTAAAGGGAGGCAGGTGGCAAACTTCAGGCAGGGGACACCAAAGATGCAACTATGATGGCTTCACCCTGAATCACCACACAAATAAGGAACGAACTTTGGGATGTTAAGATTGCCTCTACAAGGAATTGGAATGAAAGCAGAATACTATAGCAACTATTGCTTTGGGTCCAATATCAGAATGTCTCTATTCTGACAAGAAAAAGACAACCTATGCCCATCAAAAAATAGGTGTGGGCAGTTCAGAATGAGAATGAACCCTGTTAAAGGTTAATTAACAGTTGCTCCCACACTTCATTCAGCATTACTAGTGTTTAAAATAGCTGGATTCTTGGCTGGGCGTGGTGGCTCACGCCTGTAATCCTAGCACTCTGGGAGGCCAGAGGCAGGAGGATCGCTCAAGGTTAGGAGTTCGAGACCAGCCTGAGCAAGAATGAGACCCCATCTCTACTAAAAATAGAAAGAAATTAGCTGGACAACTAAAAATATATAGAAAAAATTAGCCAGGCATGGTGGCAC